CACCATAAGCTGGACATTAACATGAAGTGAAATTCATTTTACATAATAGACATATTCTCAGTGATGCATAGATTCTTTGCCACCTAGCTTTGTTTATTTTTAAACATAGTAGCCCTGCTCTGAATTTATCTAATATTTTTCAAAATTTGAAGGCAACAATAGCCTTGAGATATTTCTTTGGTGCAAGAAAAGTTTTCATATTAAAGTCCAATATTTAAACTATACCTTGCACGTTTCTTAAATATAATATTGAAATATACTGGATTTACAACAGTATGTGGGATTAAATACATACTACATAAAATGTTTCTTTTTGACCAAAATCAGGGTCCAGATCCAGACTGTGAATTTCAATTACAAACTGCACAAGCTTGTTGATGTTAGTTTTACAATTTATCACTTGACATCCAACATCAAAGGGACGGGTATCACATGGTCATTGTGTGGATAAGTGACATGTCTTGAGGGTTAGATGGGCAGTCCTTGTCATTTGACACTGAGGTGAGGTTTGAGATAATCCCATCAATTAACATGCTGTAAGAAAGGTGACAGAGTGTGGTTTCACAGGACATTGTATCACAGTCAACAGGGCGAACCAACCTTCTAACATGTTTAAGCGGAAACAGAAACAGCTAGGTAAAAGGAAATCTGTCAGTATAAGAATTCTAATCCTGAAGCAGTCTGGGGATAGATAATATTTTGAAAATAATTATGTATTGTACATAAATATAGAATACTAAACAAGCTCCGGTGTAATACCAATTTTATGAAACGAGTGAAAAGTTCTGGTATCTGACGAGCGAAAGCTTGTCAGATACCACAACTATTCACGAGTTTCATAAAATTGGTTTTACACGGGAGTGAGCTTAGTATTTTATTTATTACTGGCCATTTATAACATTTTTAGAATTATACTGTTGAGTGTGAATAGGCTACACCTACACGATCCACGGCATAATCCAATTGAGTTTAACAGATTAATACTTCAAACACGTCAAAGGTTGAAACTTATGAATTTAATACCATACAACGGTCCACCTTTAGAGTTCAGGCGTCAGTTCCACAAAATTATCGTAGCGTTAAGGTTATCGCAACTCACATACTTTAACTTAGACCAACGACTGTCGTTGTGCTACCGTACGATCGCCTCGTGGAATGGGGCCTTGCACCTCAAAGTTTACTATCAGGTCACAATACCTGATGACGTAAATTGTTGAATTTTGTTGCAAGATCCTTCCGAAACAATGCCATGTGACGTCAGCCTAGCAACAAGGTTGCTGGGGTCATCGAGTGTGCATAAGCTCCTCTCAGTGATCTATCATCTCCACACGCAAAGTCGTTGAATAAGCCAAGGGATGTTGAGAGCTTTCAATATTTGTTCTAGAAACGTGTTCCGAGAGTACATAAGCACGCGTTTTGGTATTACACAATGTGTAATAAAGCTGTATGTTTATTAAACGGGTGATCTCTTCACGGGCAAGTAATAATAGCTTTTATGCCTCGTGAGAATTAGGGTAGGGGAGGTAACTCTAGTCACTTTACAAGGGATTCTGATATCTTACAATATTTGATAAAACGCTAGTGTCCTGATAAGCACGATAAGTGAGGTTCGACTGTATAGTAAATCAAGCTTTTATTTGTTGTATACAAACAGGGTTAGAACTAAACTCAAAAGCTTAAATAACCTGGGTAAAGATAAAATGCTCTTGTAGTATTAACACAATGGGAAAGTTTAGAAATTTGTACTAGCCCACAAAAATTGATACTAGTCACAGGCAAGTGTTAATTTCTAACCCTGATATTAAATACTATGGAAAGTTTCTGTGTCAAACAGATGAATTTTCATATATTTTTTTGATAGTATGCCACTATCTGAGCTAATTTGATATATCATAAAGAAAGTGATGCATTGGTTGACCCAACCCTACTGGAAATGGCTCGAAAGTGTGGAGCATCGTATATTCTTTTTTTAGCGCAAGTATCTTGAAAAGAAAAGTTTTGTTTGTTTTCTTTGTTGTTTAACGCCACACTCAGCAATATTCCAGCTATATGACGGCGGTCTGTAAAAAATCGAGTCTGCACCAGACAGTCCACGCAATTGGAATATGATGACATGCATGAACCAAGTCAGCGACCCTGACCACCCAATCCCGTTAGTCACCTCTTACGACAAGCATAGTCACTTTCTACAGCAATCATGGGTTGCTGAAGACCTATTCTATCCCGGATCTTCATGGGGTTTAATACATTATTATGTAGCCGGTATGATGTACAATGCGATGGCCGAGTAAGACAGTGTGAAAATGTAAATTTAGCGCTGTTGTGCTCAGTTTATTCAAAGTATGTGTTTTGATTTTGTATTGGTAACAACGAATGTTAAAAGTGCTAATGAGGAGGTGTTGCTTGATAAGCACGGCCTGCTAGGCCTGCAAGCTGATTGGGTAATACCACGAATTGGGTAGAAAAGATTCGCGATCATTTCTTTAGTTGTGGGGGGCGGTCGGGTAGCCTAGTGGTTAAAGCGTTCGCTCGTCACGCTGAAGACCCGGGTTCGATTCCCGACATGGGTACAATGTGTGAAGCCCATTTCTGGTGTCCCCCGCCGTGATATTGCTGGAATATTGCTAAAAGCGGCGTAAAACCATACTCACTCACTCACTCTTTAGTTGTGGGGAGACCTGTGTTGAAATATTTAATACCAGTATGGATTTCATGTCAAGAGTACCGGTATAGCTTATGGGGGAGTGTCAAGTAGGGCTGTTACGATTCACTCGCAAATTTGGTAAATTGAACCATATTAATTTATCTTCGTGGCACTAGGTTCGAATATTAACAAAAAAAGGAGTATTTTTTATTTGAACCTGTCTGTTATTTATCAAAGCGAGATATGCAAAGTGTCTTTGCTAAGGCACCTTATTATACTTTTTTTCTCCCAATGAAAAGACATCACAAGCTGATTACCGTGAGCACAGAACACTGGAAGTACCAGTAAAAAATCTGAACTTAATCAACTGTTAATAACACAATTTGACTTCAATCCTTGGTAAAGTCGACGAGACAAACTAACCCCGTCTCTTCAATCTGACAGTCTGAACACGTGTTGCCCCGCTGGGAGGTATGGAATCACTGTTCAGTGCTGTGGGGTCAAACTGTTTTTTAATGACGCTCCACAAATCAGCAAATATGAGATATCACGGTGTGCAATACAAAGATACTGAGGTAATATTCTGTAGCGCTTTGTACAGATCAAAGCGTGCCACATGTCCCACTTGATTCTGGGTGAATGAAAGACACATGGCAATACACGTTCAACTACATGGAGCCAGTTGCCTGGCAGATGTGATGGAGGACAACTGTATGAAAGTGCATGTATATGAATCTACAACTGACCAAGGTCCATACAACCCACGGAGATAAATGTAGTGCTTAGATGTCTTTGTACCTGCACTAAATCTAGGTAGGAAGTGAACATTTACTATTACAAAGCCAAACAAAATAAGATAAAATATCAATAGAACCAGAACAAAACATAAAGAGCTCAAACACTGGATTGTCTGGTCCAGACTCGATTATTTACAGACCGCCGTCATATAGCTGGAATATTGCTGAGTGCGGCGTTAAACAACAAAACAACCAACAAACCAACATAATGATAATAAATAAACATGGTCAAACTGTGTCAAATAATTTATATAATTACTAATACAGCAACTTATGACTTGTTATTACTTTAGGAAATAATTATTCATATTTGTTACCCTATATTCATGATACGTATCATATTCACCTCATAGTGTATTCGTTGTAGCCCTAGTTTTATGTACCCTTGAATTAATGATTTTAAAGTTAAACATCATTTGATCTTTGTGCCCAATTAGAGCCAATTAACCAGAACAGTGAGCTGGTGAGTGTTTGTCCCAGTCCAGGTATCATAAAACACTCAGCTATGTGTATAGTGTAGTGTAACACAAGTGACATGGAGTCTTTGAAGTGTCGATTCATCTTTTCAGTGCTATTTCAAAACAAACTTAACCAATCTGTGTTTAGCAACCTTTTGTGGTCCATTCTTTCAAGATGATGATCATCCTGCTTATCTTCGTCCCTATTGTCGGTCACAGGTTCAAAACATGTAGGGTTCACTTGTGCTTCTTCCCTAGAAATCACCAATTTATCTTCCGAGAAAGAATCACGTTCCATGATCATGATGATAACTCGAAACTATTGTCACTGTCAGAGTTGGCAAGTTATGATAGATTTGAGCTCACGATACTGCAAAAAGGAATGAAGTAAAGTTCTACGATCGATGCTTCATCACTTAATGCACAGATCAGCAAATATTTTAAACAAAGAAAAATCTCGCAACAAAATATATGAAAGTACCGAAACGCGAACAATAAACGTCATTGAAACAGCATGTTTCGCACATGGTTTTCTCACCAAATCGTGTACTCATTTTGTGACATAAATGGCCTTTGTCACATTTCCGTTGTTGAAAGAAACAGTAGTATATTTTAATCCTTTTATCTCACTCATACAAGGATAGTGCTGTGCACAAATGGTCATTGTTTAATTGTGGATGGGAGAATATCCAAAGGTTTCAAAGTGTGAAGAAAAGGTTTACTTTGCCAAGAACGTGTGCTGCCAATCATTGCAGGAAACAGAGGCTTGCTTGATTTGGTGCCAACAGAGGGGCGGGCTAGTTGTGCGATCAAGCATGTAATTTTGGAGGAAATCACCCCCAACTTGGCCATATATGGAGCCTCCTCCGCTGTATTTTACTTTCAGCCTTTGAAATAAATAGACAGGACTAGATTGCTAGTAAACCTTGTTTACGTGATGCTTTCAATGTTTTGAATATTATATTTGCATTAACGATATTACGATCTATTCAATTCTGCAAAGTTGTTTATACCAATGAGACAGATTAATGCCTTACTATAATTCTTTTTTTTAGATCAAGTGATAAATGTTTTCAAAAGTCTTTAACTTTGTGTTTTTAGGTGATGGCAAAATAAAGACAGACAGTCATGAAAGTAGATCCCCACACAAGGACAGGCACAGGGGCCATTATTCACACAGTCAAGATAAGAAGGATTCTAGTCAGCATCCCGACACATCCCACCATCATAGTCGGCACCACCATCACCACTCACACTCACACAAGTCAGCTTACAAAGACCATGCCCTGGACCGTCACAACGATAAACAAAAAAATGTAAATGGATCCGTGTCAAATGATCGTTATGGTTCTGACACCATCAACAAACGTTCTTTTAAAGTTGACGCCGTCAAAACAGAAGTAATTGCCAAGGTCGAACACACAGCTTCTTTGAATCGAACTGTTGGCCAATCCAAACCTACCAACAATCAGCCGAGAACGCCAACAAAGAAACGAATTGTTAGCAATTGTGGTGTCCAGGTTAACCTGAGACGGCGAACTGATACAAAGTCAGTTCAGGTGTCACTTGGCAATCCAAGTGGTTCAGTTCATCGGGTCACTAATGGAGACAGACATCATGCTCCTAAAGAACATCTTGTCGGTCACCAAAAGCAAAGAATCAAGATCTCACAAGGAACTCAGACTTATGAAGCAGTTGCACCTCCTCCAGTTACCACTTTACCTCCTTCATCGAACTATGTAGCTCCTACTGCAAGCTTTGATGCTAAAGTCCATATGAACAAAACCCAGACTCAGGTACCTGGTCTCATTCAGTCAAAATTTAGCAAGTACATCCATGTTGAAAAGTATGCCAACGGAGGGGCGCATGTCGTGCACACGTACCAAGATGAATTGTCAGAACTCAGCAAGGAAGAAATGAAAGAGTTTGTGTCCGAGTATTTTGACCTTGTGTATGGAGAAACGAATGGTTCTGCCAATTTCGTGATGGGTATTGTCCATCGGGCGGCTGAAAACTTGCCCGACTTTATTGACTATTTTGGTGACTTGTATCCCAATCTCACCGTTAAAGCAGGTGTTCTGGGAAAGTCAGACATTGAAACTATGACAATAGCTAAGTACAGGGAACAGGTTATAAAAACGTATCAAAATGGAACGTACAGGTCAGGTCCACTCTTGCAGATCAGTCTCGTTGGAACAGTTCACGAAGAAGTGGGAGATTATTTCCCAGAGTTCCTCGATTTATTGGAAGAAAATCCTTTCCTTAATGTTGTGATGCCTTGGGGGAAACTGGCAGCTATCAAACTGAATTCCCGGACTGAAAGCAATGATGGTCCTATATTATGGGCCCGACCTGGTGAACAACTGGTACCAACAGCTGACATGCCAAAATCTCCTTTTAAAAGAAAAAGGTGAGTTCGCATTTGTTGATAAACTATTGTTGTTTGTGATCTGTCTCCCATGTGTAATGGGGGGGGGGGGGCACATGTGGCCCAAATTTGTAAGGCCCTGATTGTGTTTCTAGGTTCGTCAGTGCCCTACCTGTGCTTGCTGGTTTCACCAAAGTGGTAAACGGCTAATATCTGTAAATCATGGTTTTATGTGACAGACAAATGTCCGTCCAGTACGCTCAAATGTTAAGATTGGACACAGAGAAAGAATACACTGCATTTCGACGGACGCACAATAATATTAACTTTACCTTCAGCATATTAGGAGCAGTTGTGGGTGTCTGTTATCATCCATCAATCATGACGATGTTCAACGGGTTCAAAGTCAGTCAGGCATTGCAGCCATGGCGACAACAGACCTTTTTGCACAGGTGCATTGACCTAGTGGAACCACACACCTTTAGTAAGTTTTCCACATTTAGCCACAAGATTTGCAAAATATTGGCCATTAATGGTCTGTTTCCTTTGTAATCTCTGAAACCGAAGCCATCACCTTGCCCGCTGAGGAAACAGACTTTGCCTTCTTATCTGGAGGAGACATGAGATGTTTCAACTGCCTGGACTGTTGTTTGGTCTCTGGCTGATAGTGGCGAACCCAACTCTCAAGACTCACCCATGGTTACAAATCTCTCAACGAAATCAGCTGGGGCTCCTTCAAATCTGCCTAAATTCTCACGAGACATGATGAACCTGATCAGGAATCAGAAGCCTACGAGCCTTGGAGCCTTGGAGCCCAGTATGCTGAAACCTTTGTCATGCCCAGTTCATTGCTCATAATGGCCTAAACTCTGTCACGATGGATGCCTACATTATCGGCTATGTGATGTGTTATGAGTCGTCAATCATCCATAAGCATATCACATATTTTTTAAACATTTTCCTTAGTGGTGTCAGTTGGGGGTCTTCCTGATGTTGAATCATCTTCAAGGCTGTATCGTCTCTTCGTGAAATCCACTGCCTGCCCAGTTCATAACAGTGGCAAAAGAAGGAGTATCATCCCATAAAGTTGACCCCATGTCCGCATGGATGACTGTACCATGGTGGCCAATTGTGTCCAATTTTATCAACAGACAATCTCATTAAAATCAGATCTTAGTTCTTGCTACCGCTAAACAAAGATCTGAGGACATCCCATTAAGGATCACGTCAGACCGACCTTGCACAAACTTTGACCGACCAATGGAATGACTGACAAGAAGTTGACATTAGCCAATCAGAAGGCAGCTTTCTCAGAATACCCGGGGCTGCAAGATTATAAATCACATTCGACTGTCACTTTCATGATCTGGTAAGCGACGCTCTGTTTGGTCGGATGAAAGGTGGTTCTAACGTGACCCCTAATGGGATGTCCTCAGATCTTTGTTTAGCGGTAGCCAGAACTAAGGTCTGATTTTAATGAGATTGCAACAGAGATTACCTAGTTACTTTCAAGCCTGCAGAAAAGTTCTACCTGGCTGTGTATTTGATTCAAATGCAGTCTGTAAGCATGTGAAGTATTCTACTTGATACATGGAAACTGTTAAGGGTGTACAATACACCCTTCGTATTTCGGCTCAGATCTTTTCAGCCACCCCTTGTAGTAATGGGGGTTGTGAATATAAGAAAAATGTTCATATCAGTGTGACATGATCTGACCTGATGATGACATTTAAATTCATGACCTACTGAAAATTTACATAAATTCTTTTTTTATCTATGGATTTATCATGTTTATGTCTAATGTTTTCCTGGTGAATTGTCATCTGTGTAGACTTCCTCATTATTAGTTTTTTGACATATCTCTGCTAGCACTGTGGATAACCGCATTGTTTCCTTATTTCTAGACTTTTTGTAAACAGTTTCCCATAGACCAGATAGCCTGGGCCACCCATGCCCCTCTTTGGTATTGAAGTGTGTCCCCATGAAGAACAACCCATGCTTGTTGTAAAAGGTGACTCTGCTTGTCGTTAGAGGCGATGAACGGGATCGGGTGGTCAGGGTCGCTGACTTTGTTGATGCACACCATCATATCCCAGTTGCTTCGATCGATGCTTATGAAATTAATCACTGGATTGTCTGGTCCAGACTGGATTACTTACAGACCGCTGTCATATAGCTGGAATATTGCTGAGTGTGGTGTTAAACAACCAAACCAACCAACCAACCAACCAACAAACATGAAGAACACTTTTGATCAATCTTGAATGTCATTTCACCATGAGCTTGATAATACGCCATTGTAATTTTAAAAGTTTTATTAATTTTGTGAATGATTCTGTGAATAATTCTGTTCATTAAGCATGTACATATATAAATATGCATGTGTTTCTCCAGGTTAATTGTGCTGAAATTCACGTGTCCCTGGCTTCATATAATAAATATTTTTGTTTAAAAAATATAATTTCTAACACTGTGATTTTCGACTTCATCACCTCATTTTTTTTTGGTAAAAAAGGGTTTCAGGCACCAAAAAATTATTTTAACAGTGTGTTACAATTCTAACCATGCCATCGGCACTTTCTTACCCTGACAAGACAATCCTTATTTTGACAGGATAAACAAATTATTATCCATAAACAAGACAGTGGCAAGTGCAAACCAGCATTTCAATATTTTGTTTAAATGACAGTGTTTTCACTTTTCAGGATTCATATTCCCTGTACATGAGTTGCCAACACTAAGAAATCTTATTTCTTACATAAATACCAAGTAACATTGCTTATTACATGAAGCCAGTGCTCGGCGTAATTTTGCGCAAGTTACTAGACAAACACATTGATGACCATAGGAACAGGATCATTTCCCGAAAATAAACCTTAGGATTACCCATCTCAAGAAAATGAAGGGGCAAACAGAGCTCCAGATAAGCTGCGTATCTGCGTAAAATACGCATCAGAAATGCAGAAATACGCAATAAGATAAAATCCAAGAGTATCAAATACGCAACGAACATTACAGATACGCTACAAAAATAAAACTTGTGCGTATCATCAAAATATTGTGAAGTAACCCTGCGTATTCGCGTATTTAAAATTATAAACAGGCATTCCGTCAACCTTGCCAAACTCCACGATGACAGTTACATCATGATCATTTGCCATCACACTTTCTTGTGGAAGTATCATGGTATTTTTTAGTCCTATAAAGCTCTCGAACCCACACGACACAAGTTTGCAAGGACTAGATGAATAGTGTTTTTAAATATTTAACTTAAATACCCACATGTGTAAAAACTAGTGGGTAACAGAAATTTGAATACCCAGATAGAATTACTGATACCCAATGATTTTAAAATGCATGGGTAAAATACCCACAACACCAAAAGCTTATCTGGAGCTCTGGGCAAACCTAATGTACAACTGCTTATGATCTTGCCACTAATGCTTACTGTGACATGACATTCACAGAGATCGTCGATGGATCAATAGTATTCTGTCTGTTGGCACACTACATTTCCAAAGAGCATGCCAAAACACTTTTTTGAGCACACCTAAAAAAACATGCGATCCCTGCTGGACACGTTCATTATTTGAGTATTAGCCAGGCCTTGTTTGCAAACATTAGGTTTCACGACTATGCTTGTCGTAAGAGGCGACTAACAGGATCGGGTTGTCAGGCTCTCTGACTTGGTTGATGCATGTCATTGTATCCCAATTGCGTAGGTTGATGCTCATGATGTCAATCACTGGATTATCTGGTCAAGACTTGATTATTTACAAACCGCCATCATAATATTGCTGTGTGCGGCGTTAAACATGTTAAACAACAAACGAATGAACAAACTCAGATGGGGGGAGATTTGAGTGGGTTCTGTCTAGCCTATACGATGTTAGTATCGTCCAAAAGAAATACTTTCGGCACAAGTCATTACAATTACGAAGGTGAAGGAGGGTTAATTGTCAATATGAAAATTGTTCAGAAGGTTGGCGCATCAAATGTTTTGCAGGATGAGTTGATTTTTCTTTTCTGATGAAACATTGAAGACATGGAAGCTGATTTTTGTTTGTTTGTTTACACAGAGGTTTGAATGAGCTGAAGAATCTACATTACCTTCCCCGAGCCACGGAGCCAAGAGAAGTCCTGGTGGAAGACCGTACCCGTTGTCACGCTGACCATATCGGGCAGGGGTTTGACCGCCTGACCACAGCAGCAGTTGGTGTCCTCAAGGCTGTCAACGGTGGAGTAAAGTAAGCTAGGAGTCGCATATTTCTGTCAGAAAAGAAAGATGGAAACTGTGGATTAGTCGTATAAATATCCCCATACAAAAAGGCAACTGGGCTTGTCGTAAGAGGCGACTAATGGGATCGGGTGGTCAGGCTCGCTGACTTGGTTGAAACATGTCATTGATCCCAATTGTGTGGATCGATGCTCATGATATCAATCACTGGATTGTCTGGTCCAGACTCGATTATTTAACAGACCGCCGTCATATACTGTATTCGACGTAATAAGCGCCCAGGGGCCCTCAAAGTTAGAAATAGGGGGCTCTGATTAGAATATAATTTTGGGGGAAAAAAGAGAGTTGAAGGATAAATTACGTGGTTTATGCTGACAGCCTGAAATGTTTATATGCAACAGATATATTTTTCCAGAATTTAATTGCCCATAATTAAGGGTGTATATAACACAGGAGTGCGTATTATACACGAATAAATAAGTCTTTTGTACATTGATCAATCGGAAGGGGTGCTAATTGGGATAGTTCACCAGCCAATATATAAGCAATTATTGCCGTGGGTGCTTATAAGAGCGGGTCGCTTATTACGTCGAATACGGTAGCTGGAATATTGCTGAGTGTGGCATTAAACAACAAACCAACCAATCCATACACAAATCTATCCTCTTTTAATCAGTGTATTGTGTATATGTCAATTTTGTTGTGATAATGGCCCTTTTGTCACCAATGTTTTCTTTTGAGCATACTCCCTGTGGTGTGATGTTAAAAATAGCCATCCAATCAAAGTCCAAGAGACACTTGGAGATAAGGTAGAGGTGTCATGACACTACTGCTGAATGTATGCTCTACAATACATTGGCTCATCATGATAACCTGAATGTGTATGCTCATTTTATTTGACGACAGGTGAAAAGAGTGTTATGCTTCTATGAATTTTTGCACATTACAAACATTATCCTTTTTGTAGACGGGGGCATTCGGGTAGCCTAGTGGTTAAAGCGTTTGATTGTTACGCCAAAGACCCGGGTTTGATTTCCGACATGGGTACAATGTGTGAAGCCCATTTCTGGTGTTCCCTGCTGTTATATTGCCGGAATATTGCTAAAAGCGGCATAAAACCTCACTCACTCACTCACTTATTGTAGACATGTAATTGGTGTCAACATTGTTTCTTTTCATGATGCTGGTAGTGTAATCATGTATTAGCAATTTTAAATATTAGTAATCATACTAGTCCAGTGAGCTTGGTCTTTCTGTTTATGGATTGACTGACTGGAGCCAAAACTTCAATCTTTTATATAATATAAGTAGTTTGCATTTATCTTATACTAGGTGTTTTAGAAATATTCAAAGATAAATCTCTGAAATTGTCAAAATTAAAAACGCAACGTCTATGGGAACTCAATAATAATGTGATGAAATGTGGCCCGAGGTCAAATCTAGCAATTAATTTGTTAAGGCCAAAACTTTTATTATGTGTTTTCATTTTCTTATTTATGCTCTGGTTGGTTGAATCTAAATACTAAACCTGCTAAATATGATGCCTTTTATTTTAGAGATCAGTCAAGGGTTGTCAAAGATGTAATCTGTTTTGATGCAAAAGACTTCTTTGATTTGACGACCAAGTTGCACCTAGATTTGCACGAGCCCCCTGTGTCGCAGGTGAGTTCACACACAGTGCATTGGCAGTCCATATGTCATGAGAAAATGTGTAAACATTGCACAGAATCCAGAACAATCAATTTCATGGGTTATATTTCTTGGATCAAGAGGGGTACTTCTCTCTTATTTTATGCAGTTTAATATATTGTGGTAGAGAGTCCGCCCGGAGAGCGGAGGTCCAGGTTCGATCCCCGGCCACGTCATACCAAAAGACGATAAAAGATGGTACTTGTTGTTACCCTATCTGGTGCTCGGCACAAAGGGGCTAAAACAAGGACTGGTCGGCTCAGAGAATGTATACTATGATGTCTGAGTGGGGTATTCATGTTAAACTGCGGCATGGTATCTCAGTGAGCTAGTACTATAAATCGGCATCAGTCCGGACTAGTACAAGCAGCCAAAAACACACACACTTGCATGCACATCGCTATATAAGTAAAACCCAATTTCACCTCACCTTCATCAGGTGCATGAATGCCATGAGGCAGAGAGCATAATATATGTACATGTAAGAACAACACAATTAATAAGATAACAATAGGTGGAAAATAACAAAGGGTAGAAACTAACAAGGGGAGCCAACAGATGATTGGTGCTGACTGGTGATTAGCAATGGAAGCCAACACTTCACAGTAATTAGCGCTGACGCCACAATTATGTTTCTAGGTTTGTCAACACCATACCCATGCTTGTGGGTTTCACCGAAGTGGTAAAGTCTGAGACCTGCATCACTTGGGGCTTTCCTCCCACATTAAGCTGACACGCAGCGATATAACTGGAATACTGTTAAAAGCGGCGTTAAACCCAACTCACTCAGTTAGCGCTGATGGTATGGAAGCCAGTGCTTAAGTCAATAGATAAGTAATATGGATAAGTAAAGGGCGCTGGGCAAACGGGAGGCTTGGGGTAATAGCAATGATAGGAAGTTAGCGCTGATAGGTAGTTAGCACCCAAGGTGAAGGAATGGACTACTCATGCTGGTGTTGAAGGTAACATGGCTATAAAAAGCTGACTTACCAAGAATGCAACGGAAAATATCATCCAATGAGTAATTGTCGCAATCTTGTTTCTAATCACCAGTGTGTCACCTGGGTTGAAGACGCCAAGTTGAATCAGCTCCACAGGGAAGGTATTCGCTACGCTCGCATTCAGCTTTGTGACGACGACATCTACTTCATCCCGCGCAATGTCATCCACCAGTTCAAGACAGTGTCTTCAGTCACCAGCATCGCTTGGCATGTCCGACTAAAACAGTACCATCCTGATTCACAAAACTCTGCAACAGACTCTGAGGAAAATGTGTTGTCAGAGAGCAGTGTCACTGAAGAAAGATCCTTTAGTGAGTCCGAGTTGAAATCAGGAATAGTCAGCCATGTGCCCGAGCCAGAGAAGGTTCTACCGCCCTCAGAGGTCACGCCCCCCGTGACCCCGGTGACCCCAGTCAAGGTGGAGACCCTGAGCCCCGAGACCTCATGATCAAGATTGCAGTGTCCATCATCACATTGTAAGGACAAACTCATACAGTGGTTATTTTGTACATGTTCACACGTTTTAGAAGGGACAGGATGATATTACAGATATTTTGCCCACGTTTCTTGTAGATTTGGCATTATTTTTGTGAAGTGCATCATTGAGAAAAGTGCTACCAAACAGAGGTTTGTTGATACAGTGTTTCCTGTGACTTGAAACACAAGTGCCATGGTCAATACTGAATCTATGGTGGTGGCTTTGTACATGCCAGTTTTATCCCGCTGTGTCGTATCTTGATTTCCCCGAACATGCCCTTGATGAATAATGTCTCGTACCTGTGTCTGGGTCACACATTGTTTCAACACTATCACATGATCTTCGTCGAATAGATCCGTCCAAACGCTTCTGTTGTTTTTGTTCACTATTTGTCAACCTTACGATGTAGACAGACAAGCATTTGGGAAGCCCAGGATGCACTTGCACAAAGTGATCTTAGAGCTACGCTGATCGTAACTCCAATACTTTGACTTACAATAATCATTGCGCTGAGAACACTTTGTGCTACTGGGCCCTGGTGGGTTTAGGGATACACTATGCAGAGTTGTGTCCCTTTGCTGTCTGGATGTGATGATGATGGATTTGACTCTAAAATTCATCTCCATCGCCCAGGATCATCTTGCACAACGTGATCTTACAGCTACGCTGATCGTAACTCCAATACTTCGACTTACAATAATCATTGCTCTAAGATCAGTTGTGCAAGTGAGCTCTAGTGGGTTTAGGAATACACTATGCAGAGTTGTGTCCCTTTGCTGTCTGGAAATGCTGATGATGGATTTGACTCTAAAATTCATCTCCATCCCAATCCTTGGTGTCAGCACCATATGCTTGCTTGTGGCTTTCACCAAAGTGGTTTACATTTTGACCATGTCAGTGTGGCATTTCCTCTGACATTAAGCAGACACTGTTGTTTGACGGAATACTAGCTTCATGAATCCACATCATTATGAAACAGATGAAATAGATGATTATCCAGAGTCATCTTTCACCCATAGAAATAATTTCACAATTAATTTTTGTATGGAAACAATGAACTAATGTTATGCCTGTGAACACATATGCATATGTAATTATATATTTCCTTGAATCAGCCTATTATAAACAAAGCTTCAATCATCAATAACTCATCCAGAATTCATGGTTTTCACCATTATAACAGGTCAAATCCATTAAGTTATTCATTTCACACGCTAAGTTATTGTTGTACAAATATTATTGTATGTTTGTGGTTGTTTTCAAAGAGAGATTTAATGAATTGACACCTACCTGGACCTATTCAAGGGAAGTAATTCATTGAATAGTGATCTAAGGGACGTAACCCTTGCTTATATTGTCTCCCCTTTGCCAGTAGATCGAATCTCGATAACAACATGGTGAATTTTGTTTTTCCTCGACATGCCATTCACAATGACTGAATAGCAGAAAGTGGACGTTTCGGTTTTTCGTTGTCTCTGAAATATGTTAGTGGTATGGTTGTTTTGCATAAGGTCAATTAGATGTAAAAAAAATTGATATATGATTTTATGCATAGCACCTTGCCAAATAGGTGTCATTTTGTCATGTATGCTCTTGTGAAAAATTGAAACCTTTTTCTGTACAAACTGCTCAGTTTTGTTTTGGGAGACTTTTACAAGACATTTTGCCCTCAACATCATAAAATGCACAACTCACAATCATCTATCAGAGTTGTGTAAAGTCAACACAATTAGGGATGTTTTGAATATAACAATTCATTAGATCAGATATTGAGAAGGAAGAAAAGATAAATATTCTGCTACAAAACCATCCAAAGTCCTCTATAAGTTACCTCTCTTGTTTTCTATTGGATGAAAAAATGGAAACTTTTCTTTCACAGGTTTTGTGAATAAGTTGTTCTTAGTATGAAATGTCCCCCCTGAGCAGTTCATAGACTGTAGTGTACACTGAAGTGAATATGTGTTTACAACCTCAGGTGCCGTCTAGTTTTAAACATTATTGATGTTGTGAAAACGTGTTGAATTTTATATTTTATCACCCTGTTTGAAGTTGTAGAGTAGAGTTGTAATGTAGACTTCATGCCATGTTAAAAGCAATAAAACCTGAAATGACCTACCTTGATATATGTATCATGCACTCTGATCAAGTAATGTTTTTGTACAATAGCGGTAAAACAGATACAACATTTCAAATACGTATTTGTAGTTGATAATATATCAGGGCTAAAATAATGACAGTAATGGTTAAATTTATGGATTTTCTTCTTTTATGGACCATTCCTTTAGATTGACATTGAGGCGAATCATTTGCATAAAGTCAAATGTGTTTGATAAAATTGACCTAATTGTTTTGGTCAGCCAAACTGGTTGACCATCCAAATGACAAGCGACCAGAGCCTCGTTCCACAAAGCGACCTTAGCGCTACGACATTCGCAAACCTATTTATGGGTGTTACAATCACCTTAGCGCCACGACATTCATAAGCCTTTGTATGGGACTTGCAATTACCTTAGAGCTACGCCATTCATAAGCCTATGTATGGGAGTTACGATTGCCTTAGAGCCACGCCATTCAAAAGCCTATGTATGGGAGTTACGATTTCCTTAGAGCTACGCCATTCATAAGCCTATGTATGGGAGTTAAGATTACCTTAGAGCTACGCCTTTCATAAGCCTATGTATGGGAGTTACGATTGCCTTAGAACTACGCCATTCATAAGCCTATGTATGGGAGTTACGATTGCCTTAGAGCTTCGCCTTTCATAAGCCTATGTATGGGACTTGCAATTACCTTAGAGCTACGCCATTCATAAGCCTATGTATGGGAGTTACGATTGCCTTAGAGCTACGCCTTTCATAAGCCTATGTATGGGACTTGCAATTACCTTAGAGCTATGCCTTTCATAAGCCTATGTATGGGAGTTAAGATTACCTTAGAGATACGCCATCCATAAGCCTATGTATGGGACTTGCAATTACCTTAGAGCTACGCCTTTCATAAGCCTATGTATGGGAGTTAAGATTACCTTAGAGATACGCCATCCATAAGCCTATGTATGGGAGTTACGATTGCCTTAGCGCTACGCCATTCATAAATTTAAATATTGGACTTACGATTACCTTAGAACTACGCCATTCATAAGCCTACGTATGAGAGTTACGATTACCTTAGCGCTAAGATCGCTTTATCGACCAGGGCCCTGGAAATTGATTATTCTCAATTCTTCAAAGTACTATAATAATGTCAGATCTTAATATACCTTTTAATGTTTTGAAGCCATTTGCTGTGTAAATGTGGTTCACATGTTAGTTAAATGGATCAATCATACCAAGCAAACAATTGTCACTACCTCATCCAACTCCACTATTCATGTTATAGCTTACGTTTGAAGCAGCGACAGAGGAAAAGGTTTGGTGTACACATGACATAGATGGAGAATATATTCTGAAAATAACAAGAATTCCAAGTTTTATTCTGAATATTTTGTTCATAAGTTTAAAATTAACTACTCAAAAGAAATTATAGAACACACAATTTTTTCATATTACTGAAGTTAATCTGTCATGCCATGTGAAAGAATCTGGTGTATCTAACTCTTTTGAGTAGTGTATGTGCTGCTCAAACAGGATATGCTAGTGCTGTGTTTTAGTTTTGAATCCCATTCTCGGATGTGATGAACGAAAAAGAATCAACACTGGCTCTTTTTGGGGTTTGTTGAAAGACTCATGGTTCTGGGCCCACTTGCACAAAGCGATCTTAGCGCTAAGATGATTGTTACTCCCATACTTTAACATAGGCTTAGATCGCTTTGTGCAAGTAGGCGCTGATGTCTTGTTGTTTTACATCAGTTAGCTGTAGGACGGTCGGGTAGCCTAGTGGTTAAAGCATTCGCTTGTCACGCCGAAGACCTGGGTTTGATTCCCGACATGGGTACAATGTGTGAAGCCCATTTCTGGTGTCCCTTGCCGTGATATTGCTGGAATATTGCTAAAAGCGGTGTCAAACTCACTCACTCACTCTGTTAGCTGTATCTCTGCATTATCATGTTGGTCTGTAAATCTGAGTCAGACAGAGGTCATGCTTCTGAAATTCTACATTTATCAAACCTTTCTGATGTATGCTTGTTCTGTCTGCGTACATGAAATAAGAAACAAGTGTCTCGGTCATCACAGTAATCCATGCTGATCAGATTTACTTCCCTTAGGCATGCCAGGATAATATGATCTTGGGTTTGAATCTCAGATTCACCTTGAACCAGAATATGTGCTAAGAGCACCATACACGTGCTCGTGGGTTTCACCAAAGTGGTAAACGTCTGAGACCTGCATCACTTCCGGCTTTCCCTACACATTAAGCTGACACGCTGTGATATGACTGAAACAGTTTAATAACTATATAAAACGGTGTTAAACCCATCTCTCACACATCAGGACATATTTTACATGGCATATGGCTATCAAACATTTAAGGCGTGTAAAGGAATGTGACGTGTACATAGTCCTAAGATTTTGATACTGAACAACATTATTTGAGTGGAAATATAGATGTGGACAAGAAATGCATGTTACTTTGGTCATGTCATTTCCATAAAGAATTTCAGCCACAACTACGCTCTACCATCATTTCAGCCCTGTCTACCATTTGTCTCTACTATTCGGACCTAGATTTCTCAAATGAGTGTTTTAGTTGATTGCAAAGGACTTGTTTTATCTGAACAGTGTGATAGTTTACATATATTTTACAATTCATTTTGACTTTGTTAACTGTTCAAGAAGGATGTTGTTGATATTGTGTGCTGTTTTACACTTTAGCTACCGGTAGTTAATTGTAGTATTTCATTGATATTATAAGCAAACGGATATGATGTTTGTGCCTTTTATATAAACTGAATGTTTTCTCTCTCTATGCAGTTGAAAATTTCTAACTATTTTTTTCACAGTGTTAAAACAGTTAATTTGTTATTAGTACCAGTAAATTAAGTGGGACATTGGATGAAGCTAGATGCTTGTTTGGTTTGGCACAGAATAGATACCAGAAAGTCCCCCTGTGTATCTTCAATATTACACAAATATGATAGCATTACATAGTCTTCTTCTTTCTTTAAAAAAGTGTTCTACCATATTCGCTGTATTACGCACCCTGCTCAAATTTGCGCCCTTGACCAACTTTTGACCAATATGTAAGTACCGGTAATCATTTTTGGTGTCGACTACTAGACATTGCTAGAATATTGCTAAAAGCGGTGTAAAACCATTCTCACTCACCCCCTCACTGTATGACTGCCCCTTACTAAGCCCGAAAATGTACACGACAGTCCCTATTTCTCGTGATTTTGTTCGAAAAAATGCAGCTGTTTATTTTCCACATTCTACTACCGTATTCGACGTAATAAGCGCCCAGGACGCTTTCAAATTAGAAATAGGGGGCCCTTATTAAAATATTATTTTGTTGAAAAAAAAACAGTTGAAAGATAAATTTCGTGATTTATGCTGACAGCCTGAAATGTTTATTTACGACAGATGTATTTTTCTAGAATTTAATTGCCCATAATTAAGGGTGCATATAACACATGAGTGTGTATTATACGTGAATAAATACGTCTTGTGTACATTGATCAATTGGAAGGGGTGCTAATTGGGATTGTTAACTAGCCAATATATTAGCAAATATCGCCGTGGGCGCTTATTAGAGCGGGGCGCTTATTACATCGAATACGGTATGTCAAGTTTGGGAATGTTCTGTTTAAGTTTAGATACATATTGCAAAAAAGACGTGGGGTAACTACAGTTTTAAGAGCTTTATTCGTGGTTCAGTAATGGCTGCAGGAAAATTCATCAAAGTTATGATTCAAAGCATTGTTTACTGAACCACCCTTAGTGCAAGAGAGGTTAAACGTTGTCATAGTGATTGCTATTTCCAGGTTATCATTCAAGAAAAGCACACGCAAAAATATTGATTAGTATTAGAAAAATACAGGAATTAGAATTACTAATCCCCTTGTCAAGTAAATATTATCACAAAAGTTCTAGTTTCATCGACATTGGAACATGTTTGTTCTCTACCATTTGGTCTTAAATTAATCTGATGCATAGTGTTAATAAGCGACCCTTTTGTCAATTTTCTTACAAAATTCAGGATGTTTATTATGTTGAATATGGTAGTAACCTTAGCTCATAGTTGACTGAAAATGGCATATCTCTGTTTTTCTATTCATTCCCATAGAGAAGATGACAATCAGTACTTAAAGTGGGGAAGAAAGTGTATGTTCCTTCATGGGGTAGATCCTGCTTGTATTCTGTTGATACAATTGCTAGTCAATTGAAACCTTTGTTATCTCCCTTTGGATAATATTGAATCTAATTGTACAGCATTAAACATGGATACAGTTGATCTGTTATTTTGTTTGCACAATCCTCTGTATGATCGT